ATGGTCTCCCTCCCTCCCCACCATGGTCTCCAGACTGAACAAGTACCCCTTCAAGAAGGAGTCGATGTCCATGTTGCATTCCTCCTCCAGCGCCAGGAGCAGGTAGATCCCCGCGAAGAGGACGACAAGGAAGAGGTAGGCGCTCGCGAGGAAGGCCAAGGTGTAGGCGGTGGGTGCCATGAGCAAGGTGTTGAATGAATCCGTGAGCAGGCTCCCGACGCTCTCCGGCAGCTTCTCTCCCTTTCCCACGCGGACCACGTTCCAACGACTCCCTTTCGCTTGGCCCCGTCTCCTTGCGTGCCGGACCACCAGCCGGCTGCCTTGTCTGGAGGCGGGGTTGGAGGAGCACAGGGAGGAAGAGGAGGAGTGTGCCGAGGGAAGTAAACGGGAGCGACGCCCAGTGGGGGTCGGGACGGGCTGGGCAAGAGATGCGGTGGACGCATCCAGGTGAAGGCGAGAAGCGTTCGCAGGACGGGCTGTGGAGCCGAGGGGAAGGTTGAACTTGCCCGCATGCCTCTCCTCTTCGTTGGTGCTATCCGGGTCGAGGGCACTTTCAACTGCATCTAACAGCGGGGTGCAGCGGTCTAGCTCCTGCTCTTCCAGCTTCTGCTGAGACAATCCTCCTCCCCCCACGTCCATGCCACCGCCACCTTCAGCACAGCTCTCGTAGTTACGGAAGGACATTTGCAGCACGCTGCTGCCGGGCTGAGGGGAGGCGGACGACGACATGGGAGGGTCCTCTTCGGGGTTTTGGTTGGACCCAGGGGCTCGATCTCGCTCGCCTTCACTGCCGCCGCTGGAGGAGGAATTGGTCTGTACGGTGCCAGTGATATGATTGTATTGGAACGCCACGTTGCCGGTGATGATATTGGCCCCGGAGCCGTAGATTACTTCCTTGGGCTCCAAATCCCGCGCCCAAGATCTCCCGCGATACGGAGACAAACACTCTCCTCCTTCACCTCGCTGAAAGGATGGTACGTCAAACTCATCCCAGTCCCACAAAAAGCCACCAAGACGGTTCTATTCGGGTGTGTGACGCATGAATTTATTTTTAGAAAATGTTTCGGGGCCGTAGTTGAGGGCTTATTTAGGCCAGGGCTCAGTTTCTTCGTGGAGCTGAGGGAAAGCCCCGACAGGCACAGTGACGCCCGTGTCCCAATAAAACCTCATGAAAAAGACTTTTTCCGGCCGCCCATATCGCACAGGCTACTCCTGTTGCCCCTTCTCCACCTCTTTCCGACGTGGTCACAGGCGCGCCTTACATATTTCACCTCATGCGGCTTCTAATAAGGAGCATGCATCAAAGCTCGCTTCCACCCCACTCCCTGCCAACGTGTCATGTCTGCCTCCTCCCCCTCCTCCTCCTCCTCCTCCTCCTCATGCCTACTTTTGTTGCGTCGACCACGGTAGCCCCGCTTCAAAGCCTGTTTAATCGACTGAGCGGGCGCCGTCAACCCCCTTTTGATGGGCATGCCAAACCCCAAGGTGGCACATTTCCTCTCCCCAACCTGCTCCTCGCTCTTCGCGGCGGGGGAGGTGAGGGAGGTGTGCATATCGCCCGGGGCTCAGGGGGGCCGGCACCGAGGCCATTTTCGTCGTCCACAAATTTCTTACAACGCCTCCAGCAGCAGGCCGGGGACGGATTAGATAAATTGGACTTGCCGGGGCTCCAAGCGTCCGTGCAAGGGTAAGGGAGCAAGAGAGCGCGCAGGGGGATATATACATATTTGTAAATGCACATGGGGGAGGGGAGGGGTCGAAGCTCAGAATCGCTTGCGGTAAGGGGTGAGGGAGTGACGAAGCAGCAAATGGTTACAAACATAGCATGACCTGTGCCTGAAGAGGCACTTTGACACGTGGTGTGGGCTTCCTCCATCCTCTCGTGTCACCCAGGCGGATGCAGCATTGGGGCGAACATATGCAAAAGCACCCGAAAGATGCCTTGAAAGTTGCGAGCGTGGCCATGGCAGCCGTGGTCACGGGCACGGTTGTGAAGAACCCTATGGTGAAGCGGCAGGTAGGAGTGCCTGGAGTGGGGGGGAGGTTAGGGGGGCGACAGGGAGCGAGGATGCGACGCGCCAGGGCAGGGGTGTATGTGTGTATGTGTAGGGGATGGCAATATGCGCCAGAGTTCATGATCCACGATGCTTTTTTTGGCCCTACTGGGCCCGACAGTGCTTCTTCTGGTTCAGGGCTTTCCCTGTCTACCTCCACTACCGGTGGACGGAGG